AGTTTATAATAAGGCGTACGCCGAAGATTTATCGAGGGAAGAAGCGTGGACTACTGTCGATGGAAGGTGCGGAGTTGCGTTCATTAAATCATAAACGTGAAAATGGGCGGCGCGTATTGGGATACGCGTCTAAAGTTGAAGTTCAATCCGTTATGGTGTGAAAAGCAAGGGGGAAATAACGTAAGGAAGAACAAAGGGATGGAAGAGGGCGGGGTGGAAGGAGACGCTGAACAAAAATGAGAAAGGTGAATGATGTAAAGAGCGCGCGTGACTCTTTATTCGCAGAATATTTGCATTCATGAATCTCATGACGTGGAAAAGCCGCAGACACGTGCAGCATTCATCGTAATGCAGCGCGGATTACTAGCGCATAATGTGATTTCGCCATATCGGTTTTTTTCTTACTGGGTCGACGTGGTACCGTATATTGAACATCAGATAACTCTGCAGGGGTGGATACAGATAATTGGAACGTACACATTCATTTAAAAAAAAGATGCAAATAAACATTGGCGAATGTTTCACGGTTACATTAACAAAAATAATTATTCCTTTTATTCTGTTAAATTAAAATTAATTATAATTATAAATTATTCTTTATTTTTAATTTATTTAATTACAAATAATTTATAATTAGCTATATAATTATAAATTATTTTTTAAATTAATTTAATTTTGTAAAACTGCGTGTGTATGCTATTGTAATGTGAATTAATTGGTGTGATGTAACGTTCATGTTCCAGGAAACTCATAAAAACGTCCGCTATATCTCCAGCTTCCTACGTACAACAACGTGACAGTGATCGATCAAGCTGAAAAATGCCAGGAACCACAGAAAACATATTTCGCCGAGACCGCACTAGAATTTCGTGAAATTTTACTACCGGAAGTTAAGCTGATCCGACGAAGACAAAGTTCGAGGCTATTACCCTTGTCGTCGGAACGTGACTTGAATAAGAACACGTGTAACTGAAAACAGAGTGTATGATTTTCCGGATCGTATGTGTTGCCTCTCCTCTGTGAAAAAAGGATTATATCCCTATTGCTCTTTGTCATACGTACGCAAATTGTATTAGCATCTTGAAATAAATCATTTAAAATTATTTTATAACTAAGGAAGAAAAACGTGACACATAGTAGTACGGAAAAATTTGCCCATACATTCTGAATTTCATTTTAACACTCGGAAAATATATTCCTACGTGTTACGTAAATATTACAAGCACGTGAGCATGTCAAAAATATGTAAATATTCATATAAATACACGTGATTTAGAATTTTCTTTCTGTTTTAAATCATCTATGCGTTAATTTCTTTAACAAATTTTTTAGAACAAATAATTTTAATAATCCCAGACAACATACATGTCCGAAAACGAGACACAACATATCCGAAAGACGCCTAAAAGACGTTTTAATGACAACATTTTTAAAAAGACATCTTAAGATGTTTGAAAGAAACACGTCTTTAAGACGTTTTATGTTTCGATTTTGAATTTTTTGTTATCTGGAATATACACATTATTCTTTTTTAAAAATATAGCTAATAGCTAGAATAAATCAATATAACAATAATCATCGGACTTGAATACAGATTGTGGAGCAATATATAATTTGTAGAACAAAAATTAATTTATTCCGCATTTTGCCAAATTGAAATATACGTGGTGCCATCTTACGATCAAGGTGTTAAGTGTTTTATAACAACTTTGGTACAAGGTATCTTGATAATTTGAGAAAAAAATATTTAATTGTGTAAAGAACATATATATAATTTATATACATTTAAAATAAAATAATATATTGATACATAAATAGTCTTTTCTTACTTTTTAAAATAATATTCTTATAATGAAACAATTAAAAAATTTAAAATATATTTCATCAAATATAAATTACTTCCTTTTAAGAGTAATCTAATGTGTCCTATTATTTAAATAACGTTATGCAATAAATGTAACCAAAAATACATCACATCCACATAAAAAATATTGAAAATTTATTCACGAAAATTTTTTAAAGTCTACTTAATATTTTTTCTTATATTATTGTATTTTTGTGTGTGACATTATTGTCTGATTTGCCGATTATGTTTCACTCTTTCCATTACGTAATCTCATTCAAAATTATGCACAACGCCTACTTCTAAATAATTATCCAAAATACAAAGACATTAAGAAATAAATAAAAAAACAAATCCCCCTACCTGTTAAGATCAAAATTTACACTTGATATTTCTGAAACGTCACCCATGTCACTCGCAAATATACGATTGGCACAGCCCGAAACACTATCGCGAAATACCGGTCTACGATCGAAAGTTTATCACCAGGTAAATCGTGTCGCGACGCGGAAAGATTTTTTCGGCATGAATAAATCGAAATTGCTCGAAGTGTTTTTGACGTCGCGACGTCGCGTGCGCCATGGCGGTGCTGAACAGCTGTTCGTTAACCGTAGATGTTGTTTGACCAAAAGGTGGGGTTGAACGCCATTATTATTGCCATCTACCGTAGGGTGCAAGCAGTTACTTTTAACCCTTTCGTCTCTGCTACTTGTCTTCCGTAGAAAATATCAGTTTCTGTCACCTTACAAGTAACTTGAATTATTCACACTAGGTAACCGTTATTCTTCATTTCTACTTATTTATAATTAATGTTTTGTAGAATTTATCTTTTTGGATCATAAATTATCCGAACGTGTGCAAAATAGTTTACATTTTTGAAGAAACAATATATCGATAGCATGACAAATTGAATTCCCTTCCAATAGATGTAGTTCGTGTTTAATATAATCACGGTTACAAACATTACTTAACTTTGAAGGCCGCGTCATATCTGACAGAGGCATCCTTGCATATCATCACGTGCGATCAACACAATCAGATACGCGCAGAGCATCGTCCGGAATACGTATTTAAATACTGTTGCATTTGAAATAACGTAACCACGAACGCAAATGTATTCGTTCCTGCAAAAGTCTATTGTCTATCGCAAGCCCTCATTATGTAAAGAAGAGAAATATAAATTAGAAAAATTGTGAAACATTGCAGAAGCTTTATATTTCTACAATATTATCTTTCATATTGAAATAAGAGGTCCAAAGATCGAACTGCGATAAGTCTTAACATAAACATTTAAAAATAATCACAAAATAGATTGTACATTTAAATAATTTATGATTTGCTTTGCAGAATGTTTTTAATAGCAACACAGTGGACGCATCGTATTCTAATGCAGCTGCCGCGATTCATTTTTTATGCATCACAATATTCTCTACCGCATTCTTTCAAGCTACCTGCACAAGATCATCGTGTGACATAATAATTAGTTTCTTCTACGCATCAAGATATATAAATTTATGTTACGTAGTATCTTCTGCAATTCGTCGTTTCATGTTATCATTCTTATGCACGTTTTAAGTCGCATAAATTGTCGCTTCGATGTATCAGTTCTTCATCATCAATTTATAGTAATCTTTTTGTTTGGTTATTACCGTGATATATTGTCCAGATATGTTATCTAAATTCTGACATTCTATAAATTTTTTACTTTTTATTAAAAGGTATGTCATGTTATTAGAATTTTAGAACTCTAATACTGAAAATCTTTTATCGCAAAAATATTCTTTATTATATATAGATATATATATATTTTTATCTTTTTATATATATACATTATATATTTTTCCTATCTTGGATAAGGAGAATTTACGGCTATTTACGGTCCTGCTTTCGTACACCCTCGAACTCTTGTTCATGTGGTAGTGTTTACTCACACAGAGATTCGTGCACATTCAGGTACCTGCACATTCACATACCTGCACATGTACATCAACGTGTAAATGTGAATGTGCGACCTTGTGAGCGCAACAGGCGTCACTCCACAACCACAACTCTACAACCTAGAGACGGCGTACGATAGCGAGTACAAGTAAATCCCCTACTTTAACGACAACGGCTACTTTTACAATAGTACCGTAGTTACAAACTTTGCAACCCCTCCCCTCCATCCAAGCTTCCTTTATACAAAGATTTGAAAGCTGAAATCGATTTTTACTTACAAATTAACTGTCTGACGTAATCATGAGAGATTTAATTATACATTAAATATGTTATATAAACAGAGTAATATTAACAATTATATAACAATTATATGTATAAATTTTGAATAAATTTTCATATGGTTTTCAAAGTCATTTTCGTAATGGTATACTTGACTAATCGTATTGATCTCATATTTATTTTTGAATAGTTAATTTTTCAATAAATTAATAAAGCTTTTGTTAAATTTTTTTATTGCATATTTTCGAATACATTTATGTACTTGGCGTATCTTTTTTAGCTTTGCAATATACCTTCTATAAAAAAATAAGTAAAAAATATTTTTAATTGTTATGTACATGTTACAGTACACGCGAGAGGATACATCTCATTCTTGCGCGCATCATCAGTTTTTTTTTATAAATTTCTCTCTGACCGGTGCCCATTTGAAGATACCCCGTAACAATCCGCCACTGTAAACCGGCTACGCTGGTCTCTTATAAAGGAAACCCACGCGAAAGCAAGCTACATACCACGGCGGCGCGTCGCGCGCAAACGGAGCCGACGTTCCAACAACTGTCACGCTACAACAACGATCGCACGCGCGCAATCGCCTACGGAGCAGCCATTCATGGGGTCCCACATAACGCATTGCCCGTTGCCGATGACTGCCTGAACGCTCTCGGGACGTCGCGATGCGCGGTGGATTGCGCTGCGAACACGATTACGGACGACGGCGTGTGCGGTGAAAGCCCTCGGTGAATTCCTCCTGGCGATCGGCAGAAGTGATGGTGCGCGTACGCGTTCGATCGCTTTCGGTGTGACCATGGCATCGTGCGTCTGACACACCATCGGCCATCGACGGCAAGACCGCACCGAGGATCCCTCACCAGTCACAGACCTGCTGCCAGACGGTTGCTGTTCGCCCGGTTCGACCAACGATCCTCTTCCTGTACGCTCGTGATCTCGGTCGTTGCTAAAAGCGGCCGCAATTTGCTCCGAATCGCAATTATGGTACGTGCAAGTTTTGTTTCGCGCGGGTTGCGCAGTTCCACGAATCGTCATTAGTTTACAAATGACTTCAATATTACTGTCGCGCGTGGAATAAGCTACCTGACACATGTCATTCGAGTCGGTGCATTGTAATTCTTCTCGTAATTCGAAACCGCGCTCGTGTCAAATTAGATAGCGTATAGTATAACGAATCATTTTCGGATGTTTCTAATAATAGCGGAAAAAATATAGATCAGCTCAGCAATTAATTAATCAAAATGTTGTAGATCAAACAAACGATTTATTAGAAAATAAAAATACTTTTTCTTTTTCTTTCAACGCGAAAAATATGTTTTAAAAGCATAAAATAATAAGATTAAAATAATATACTTAATGTAAAAATTTATTTCAATGGACAAAATGATATTAAGAGATTGTAAGAAGATCGAACGTTACCGCCTTTGTTTTGTTCTACTCCGGATGACACCGAGCATTAAAGTCTCTATTAAGAAGGTGGGAGATGCCAGGCGTTTCTATCCTATTTACCTCGTCAATTCTCCTTAGTTAATAACGTGATAATGGAGGTCGGTGCCATCGGGTCTCGGTGTTAAACGCGATTTTCCTCACGGCATTCCGCGGTTGTTGTATAGCGGGTCGCGCGATCGCTCCGGATCGATCGACGGTACCGGCGTGGTCACGACGGAACGAAGCTTTTTTTCTTTCTCGTAGAGAGAAAGTTCAATCGTGTTAGTTGGTTTCTTCGTTTCTGGAACATCTTGCTCTTGCATATACGCGGCTTTATTGCGCCGGAAGCAAAAGGGCCGGACCGCCGTACCATTACCGATTCAGAACAGCTGATAATCACCTGTTGTGAATGATAAAAGCATTGTGTTAACCAATGAGGAGAAAAAGCATCCTATTTTACGATCGCAAGAATTTACGATCATATTTTACGATCGAAAGTCAAGAGTATCGAGCACAATATTATTTTAACACTCTTCTAATAATAAATATTTTGCCAACATGATTCCTGATAATAAATGTTTTGCATTTGTGTGTAAAACTATTTACTGTCTATTATAAAATACCAAATGTTACATTGCGTAAAATATAATCGGGGTATCAAAAAATAATTGAGATTTTCTTTTATTTTTTATTCCAAATAAGATAATTTTATCTTAAAGAATAATTTTTAATAAAAATTATTTTGTTAAGTTTTAGAATAAGAGTCCTTTACCTTATTTATTTATTATTATTTTGTTAAGTTTTTGTCCTATAATTCATTAATAATAAATGCAGTTGATAAAGCATTGATGTAATTGTGAACAGCATTATTGTATCAATCATTTAATAACCATCATTATTATCTTCAAAATGATAACCATGACAATAAAAGATATTCTCGTTATCGAATATATCTGTGGAAAATCTTGTCGCCACGTCAAGTAACCTCGCGTCGTTTCGAAAATCATGTTTCTGGATGAACACGAGCAAGTATGACGCCATATTATATATGTATATGCGCGTATTAATAGCACACCTTTAGCGTGCGCTTGTGCAGCTAGCTTATAGTGCTTATAGCTCACGATGGAATTTTGCAGCGTTCGCGAACAACGCCGCCGAGTCTGTGGTGATCAACCGTTATCTAAACGGTTCACTCATTTGCCGATAAGCCGTAATTGGGAAGTCGTAATTTCGAGGGGACAATTGCGCGAATATGGCGCTGGCAAAGATCAGAAACTTCATTGACAACAGCCTGAAGACCGTGTCCACGCCGTTGGATCGTACGGTGAATCTGGAGCCGGAAATCGGCATTAGGATCATGCACTCACCAAACGACAAGACACTTAACGTCACAGTTCTCGGTGCCAGACACTTGCCACAGAACTTCGGCTTCACCAGAGTCAATAGCTACGTTGTAAAGGTAGAGTAAACACGAGAATGTGGATCAATCGTATCTGAGCAAACAAAAAACGCATATGTTTCATTAACGACTCATATATTTCACATTTACTGAATGTATCTATTTAAAGTAAAGAGATCAATAACGAATCAGCTTTAAGTTCTATAGATCAATAATTTATTAACGTAACAATTCAAATAACATATAACAAATAACTGATTAATTACACAGAGTCTCCTTTATTAATTGAAGTTCAACGTAGATTATAATTAAAGGTAGAGATCCGTTTAAATCCGTAGATTTAACACAATAATTTTACTTTTTTTAAATCTTTTTGTATATATATTAATTTTGTCTGCACTGATAATATAAACTAATTATTATACATTCGATAAATTTACGTCGGAGATATCAAGCGATGCCAACACTTCTATGTAAACTGTAAAATCGCGCTCCGCTACGCTTCGCCGTACTCGAATCTCAATTAAGTCAGAGACGCTCGCAGCACTCCTGTGGATGTTATCTATGATTACGTAATGCTATATGAGTAACGTATTATAGAAGTCCGACATTGACTGTAGTATCTTATTGACTGGTGAGAGAGAATGTTCTTTACAACTTCCTCCGACATTGTCGCGCGAACAGGACGACATAGATGCTAAACATCTATATATAACAAAAATCAATTCAATGCTTCAACATATTTCAGGAACACGTACTGTACATACGAATCGTTAATGAAATATCTGTTATCAGAGAGTAACGATATTAAATATTTCTATCTTGATTCCATTAATTATTACTAAAGGAAAATTCAAGCATAAATTTTCTCTTTATCGTTAGAAATATATCAATTAATTCAATAATAAAATATATAAATTAATCAAAAATGCATATTTTTTATAATTCAATGAATTCTTTAGAAAATGTAGCACAGAACAGACATAAAAAATATTTTATTCTCTAATTTTTATATTTTTATTTCAAAATTTACGCAATAAATCATACATGAGTCGAAAAATTGTTACTATTAGATATTTAAAAAACTGACAATTCGAATTTTTTTAGGTGAAGCTAATTCCTGGAAAGGACAAATTTGAAACCACCTCGAGGAATGAATCCTGGCCACAATGGAACGAAGAATTCGTTTTTCCCTTACGCAAAGAAACCAAGCAAAAGTTTGGCAAATCAAAAGTTGTGGAAGAGGAAATTAATGGATCTAGATTTATCGTCGCGACTCTTTACGCAATTCTTGAGGACAAACCTCTAATAGCAACTGAAAAGAAAGAGTCGGAGAAAACGTCGCCTACTAAAGAAGCACCGAAGAAAGGTGGGAAGAAGAAGGAAGGTCAAAGTACTTCTTCCGACAATCAAGAATCTACCAAGAATAAACTCCTCAGCCAATTCTTTGGTAAAAATTCCGACAAGCTCGCAGAATCTACAGCTACGGAGAGAAGAGCTTACGACAAGAGACGAACTGTTGGCGCGACGACAATTCCACTTGATCCAAAGAACTTCGTTTGCAAACCACCGAAATCGAAACATGCCAGTGACGTATCTACAGGAGATCTGTGGAAACCATTACGACCGATCGCCAGTGGCATCTCGGGTGCTGAGGAAAGAGTAAGTATTTACAGCTTCGTAACAATTGTACTGTGATCACAAAAACCATAATTATGCCATTTTCAAATGAAGGCCAATTGAATTACAATTGTTTGCGAGATATTCATGCAAAGTTAACCTTTTAGTTAACATAATATCATACATACTTACAATTAGTGTGTAATTCTGCAAGCATACGTTGAACAAAGAGATTTTCTCGAAGATAAATCTTATTTTCCACGATAAAATCTTGATCATTAAAGTTACATTTAGTATCTTTTCTGCCTTCATTTTTATAATTCTTTGGAAATAATCTGTGTATAATATTTTATATGTATTAGTAAATAAAATATAGGAGCGCGTTTATTTTCTACAAACATTGAAATTTTGTTTATGATGTATACCGCTATATTCTTTAATTTAATATTTTATTATTAAAGTATACACAATATATCTAATATATATGATCTTTCAGAAAGAGAACAAAAAGGGCCAAGTCGAATTGTCTTTGTGTCTATCGAAGGGCGAGAAAGATGAAGACAGTGGCGGGCAATTGATATTGTCTCTAAACCGTCTGAGATGTTCGCTTCAGACGATGCATGAGCATGAAGGTTTGAAAGGACAAATGTATCTGAAGATGTCGGTTGTCGAAAGCGGTCGAATAACACACTTCTGGAAAAGTGATCGATTTACACCAACGGTATCCATGAAGTTCTCACCTGAGATGGCGAGAGTTGTCGCCGACAATCCGTACAAAGGAGCGCTCAATGACGTGAGCTTCGTTATAAAGTTTGTTTCGAAAAATAAAATGGGTAAGTAATTGAAATTTCTTTATAAAACATTAATATATAATCGTACTCTACTCTTATTATTGTACAATATTATTTAGGTAAAAAAACTCCTGTGGGTCATTTTGTGATTGGACCTGATGTTGGTGGAGCTTACGGTGAACAATGGAAGCAAGCTTTGGTGAAACCGGGACAACAGATAACGAAGTGGCAGGCATTTGAATAAAAATAAGACACTCAAGGAGTTGATAACTTATTCAATATTACGAAAACCGCAGTCATTGAACGTACGACGTACTTTCCTGTTACAATTAGATATCTAGAGACAACGAAAATGAGACCACTATACGCGCGTACACCGTACATATTTAAAACATCGATCGATAAGGCTGTTCCAAAGAATATCATAGAAACGTATACGACTGCACACGTCTACGTGAATCTTTTTTACTGCGCACGCTGATGTCTACGTTCTACTGCTGATTTTAGAAGAAAATTACGTTCATAAAAGAAAATTATTTTTAAATTAATTTAGTTATAATATATTTTCGATCGCATATATTCTGTATATATACTAAACCTTTGCCAATTTTAACCGTCCTTGATTTTACAAAGGAGAGAGCTCGATCTTTCTAATCCGAATCCGATTAATGTAACCGTCCGTAAAGTAAAAACTAGGCATATATGTATATTTAAAATGGATAATTATAACAAATACATATCATATTTTATTTCATAAGATCACGAGAATAAGTTCGTCATGTAATTAGTATTAATTGATATTTTATTTCGATACAGATATAATATAGCTTTTAATGAATACTCTCATATATAAGTCGCTTTCAAAAGCGTATCGTTTATGATGATCTTTAATAATGATAAATTTAACTAATTTTTTATGTACGTTAAATGCTCATTTTTATTATGGCACTAACTAGGAACAAGTGACGACCAATATTTCGAGTTGATATTAGCAAAAAACTGTCCAATTGTGATACATCGAAATATCTTTTTTTATCAATTATTATATTTTTATATTTCTTAGTATAAAATATTTTGTCAATAAAGATGCCACAAACATCGCAGAACATCGTAGGATAATTGCATTATATTGTTTTGAAGACATTAAATATTAATTATATATATATATATAATTAGTATTAATATTTTCATGTTATTACACCAGCTCAAATAAGAAAGAATGGCATAAAAAGAGATAGTTTAAAATTTTTCGAGGTAGTTACAAAATTGTAATATCAATTAATAATTATATTTTCTATAATGTTTTAATAATGTATATTTTGACGCTATTTTTTAAGAAATATTTGTATGTTTGTAACTGCTGACACCAAAAAGTACACATACATTTTATTTAAAGTAATGTTTTTATTTATTTCTGCATTGTATGTAAAAGAGAAATTTTATTTATAAATACATCTTATATTATCCACAATTTCATTGTTTTTTATAACAAACAAAAAGCTAACTAACTAAAAAAGCTCAATAACTTTTTCAATTTTTATACTTATCAAGATGATATGTGGTTTTCAATTTAGATATCATTTTATTTTCTGTACTTCATGTAATCGTCTGACAATTTTATAATAACTTTTGAGTAATATATCATGCTTTATAGAAATAAAATACATCGCTGATACAAATATATAAACCAGTCATAATTCGTAATGTTAATACAGCGATACAAATGTAAATATTATTAAAAAAGTATGTACAAAAATAAAAAAAATAGCAAAATGCCGCGTTAAAACTAGATTGATTGTATAATTAATCTGGACGGTTTTAGCAGTATTATTCTTAATATCTAGGATTATGATAATCGACTCATTCAATAAGAGATTCATAATTTTGTACTATAATAATATTAAAAAATGGAGAAAATAGTACGAATATATAATACATTCGTTTGTTGTGTGTATATATAGCAGTAAAAATATATTTCTATAAAATATGTAATTTATTGACAAAATGTAGCTTAAAAGCCAAGGTAAATTACTGACTTACTGGAAGTTATTCCTTCTTATAAATATAAAAAATTTCCATTGTTGATATTTAAAGATAAATATAAAAGGCACTTGAATGTTGCGTAAAAAATTATAAAAATTGTAAAATTGCATTGTGTAAAACTACTATGTATATATTTAATTGCATAGTGTATGCGTCTTCCCTGACATTCGATGTGTAAAATGAGAAGAATATTAAGTAAGTACAAGTGAATCTTGAACTGTAATGATAATTACTGAAATCTACACTATCCAGTGAATCAGATTTGTCAAGAATCTTTGGCTAGACTTTTTCAAACGATGAACACATATCGAACAGTTGTTATTAGGCCAATTAATAAGAGAAGCCAATTCACATATTGGTAGGATGCCGAGTTACAACCATCTTTGCTATTGCACGTACAATATTCCATAAATATATTATACGTTCCAGTTCGCATTAAGCAAAATCGCTCATCGCCCGCAATCCCTGGCTCGCCCATGTAAGCACAGTTACGGAAATATCTCCATTCTCCATTAACTGCAAACGAAAATTTATGTAAAATACAAGATGTAACGAAATGACACCTGTATTCAACAAATTTGTAGTTTTTTGTATACTAGTTGTACGTGAAATTGTATGATACTCTTATAAGTAAACAACCTTTTTGACGAATTTTACGGCACATCGTCGGTCTTACGCCTGGCAAGTGCTCCAAGTCAGGTTCCTGCTTGCAATCTGTAATAGGTACTGTGGAATTATCAAATGGATCTGCGCACTTCGGATCCGAGTCTGATCTGCACGTCCAACATTTGATCGAAAGGCCTAAAAGAATACGACAAAATTAAAAACATTTCTATTCCCAATTGTAAGTATATGTTATTCACAACATTTTAAACATATTCAACTTAAATAGTATGTAATATACGCTTATTTCTGTAAAATGGAGGTTAGGATCAGTATGTTTGGGAAATAAAATTTTCATAGCAATTATACGCAAATCTCTGTAAAAATACATTTACAGAAAATATATTTACGATTTCGATATTTAAAAGTTATTTAAAGGTTAATTTAAAAATATTAAATAAAACTTAAATATTTTTCTGATTTAATATACCTTCTTGGACGCAACAAAGGAAAAGCAATGCTGTTATGAGAAAGGAAAGGCGGATTCTAATGGCCATTTTGAAAAAAGCGCGACGTCTTAACTTTTTACTTTGCGAAAACTTTTCACGACAAAAATAATATTCAATTACTTCCAAATACTCTTTATGAATTCTATATGTCCACGCCTATATAATTGACACCACCGAACAGCACTAACCGCGCGCTGCACTGGCTCTCCAGTTATACCGAGTGACTCAGAAATAAATAAATCAAAGCAAATTAAACAGGCAATATTTAACGATCAATTTTATATAAATTTCATATCATAAGTAAGAATAAATTTATGTACATATACGATTTTCTACAAATTTGGTCTTCACGAATATATTTTCTATACTTTATTTATAATTAACTTATAAAATATTCAATTGATATGGAGTAATTTATTATTAATTATTATCAAATGATAGGCTATTACTGTAGAATTATTAATATAAAAGGCCATAAATAATTGTGCAAAATCAAATATTTGTAATATACATAAATAAATATAATATTAAAGAACATTTTTCTTATGACAAATAAAATTTCTGAAGTCATTAGAACTATTTCATACGTTCATAATTGTTTAATTATCACAATTAATTATGTAGTGCATACTGACTCACCCAGTTGCTTATAAAGGGTGTCTTAATAATAAGTAAAACTAAATTTTATATTTACTACTAGTACTTTGATCATATTTTAGCGAGTAATTATATATAAAAAAATAATGTTTGACACACAAAATATTGAGGAACGTATTATAGTTTTAAAAAATTAAAATAATATTTATTGTAAGTAAACATCAGGAAATTCTCTCCATATCACGTATTTTCATGTATGTATACGTTCCTGAGAACTTCGGGTATACTCGGGTTCTTAGGGATTACGTCACGCGTATAACTCGAGTTATAACCGCGCCCGACAGATGTGATGGTCCTCCTTATGTCACGGTATATAGTCGCATGTATATTCACTAGAGGAGTGAAATTATTAAGTATACGTTATAAAAATAAGTCACTTTTTTTTAACACCAAAACGAGATTGTATAGTCATTTTCTTATCTGAAAAACTTTTCAGATGCTAAATGCTAATTCGTTTTCTAAATTGTTCTGTCACTTCACAAATTTTAGAAATTAAAGTTGTAAAAAGGATTGCTTTTTGTATTTTGTTATATTATTACTATGATATGTGGCATTCTAGAGAAATTTTATTAGAATTAAAATTAAGTATATGTGTTATTTAGACTTTAAAAAAATATTCATGGTTAAACGTGGGATCTGTTACGGAAAAGTTGTGAATTAGATCATTGATGATTTATAATTAAATAATTTCAATTATGTGTATATCTAATCTTAAGAATTTTTAGGCTGCTGAATATGAATTCGATGTCAAAATTGACAAATTCGAAATGGATTCAATATAGTGAATATCTAAACTTGAAAAATATTCGGATTATTGCAAAAATTTATACATATAAACGTCTTTCATGATTTTGAATTTTAACATCAGATTCGTATATATAATATATTCAGCGACTAAAAAAATCCTTAAATTTAAATAAATATATAACTAAAAGCTATACATATATTTTAGTTGAAATATAATACAATATGAGATGAAGCAGCTTGTAAATTGGGTTCGTATTCAGCGTCCAAAAAACTATGGAATGATTAATCTTCTTCTAGTTTTTTTTGTCGATCAGTGTTATTTTATAGCGTGTTATTTGAATCCAATGTAAAATGAAAGAACGTGCAAAACAAAAAATAAGGTGACTTAATGCGTCCATAAACAGACGGATATATGTAAAAAATACAAAAGTCTATAAGTTATATGTATTTTAAAACATAAAAATTTAGAATTGTACGTTTTAACAATATAAAAGAAATACTTTACCTCATTTTAATTAATTTACATCACAACTTTTCTCGTTATAAATCATAGACTAAAACTTTTTCATTAAACGCGTTCTCATTATTCTTCTTCACAAGTTCAAAGTTATAATACCAAATACTTAAAAATATTAGAAGCAGAAGAAATAAAAAAATATATACGGATATTGCATTGTGTTATGCACGTAGGCGTGCGCAGTATTAGAAAATAAACTGGTTGTCGATCAACTGTCTCTAATCGCCTGCAAGTTTTTATCAGACAAGAGCGGTCTCTCTTGAGTGTGCTAGCACACGAAGCATACGGTTCAATGTCCTTTTACTCAGCCAAATTGTAAAAAAATTATATCTCAGAGAAAAAGACACAACTGTTACAACAAATGTTCGCTGGATTCGAAACTTTTGTTCGTGAAAACATCTTATCCTTCTTTCCTAGCTGCGATTGCATCCAGAGGTCTGTGCATCATGAAATTTCGAATCGTCTGGTGATGCGTGGAGCGAACTGCTCAGACCTACGTCCAGCATCCTCCAGCTATCTGTATCAGTCTGAGAGAAGGGGGTCGATCTTGGACCCCACGGATCTCGTAGCCCGCAGCGAGCGGGATCGGTTCACTTTCGCGGGTGGTCCGCGCCGACAACCGGCGACGTCCGCGCGCGCTCAGCCCCGTTCCGGGAGAAACATTTGAATGCTATAAATAAATATA